ATTTCCATCGTCTTTTCCTAACTTCCTCTTCAGCTGGAAGCTGTTGCTGATGGTATCCGGCCAATGGATGTTGAGTATCTTGCGTAGACAACTATTTATAAATACTTGCACCTTCTTGATGATCGTTGTTGTAGTTCTCCAAGTTTCAGCTCCGTACAGTAGAACTGCCTTGACGTTGGTATTGAAGATTCTTACTTTGATATTGGTTGAATGTTGTTTTGAGTTCCATATTTTCTTCAATTGTAGGAATGCGGCCCTTGCTTTGCCAATCCTCACCTTTACGTCTGCATCTGAACCTTTTTGTCCATCGACGATGCTTTCATAAATGTTCTTAACAAGTATATGTGTGATCAGATTGTTCGAAATGTATTGCGCAAATATATCACATAATTCTGCTAAACTTCGTCTTCTCATTGCATTATCGAAATTTATCAAAGGGACTAATTGTTTTAAATAATTTTTTTATTTAAATCAATCATAGTAAACTTAATAAAATTGTACATTGATCAAAGTTATCATACCATTTTAATATAGAATAAGAATAGATGACAAAAAATTGAAATAATAATGAAGAAACAAACCCTAGATAAGCCTTAAGAAGGATTGTGGATGCGCACTATTGAAGATTCGCACAATAGGATGAAAAGGCCATCTAGTGTTTCCAGGTATTCTATAGTGATCTAACTTCAACTGATTCATGAATTCATCTATTAAAATATTACTACAATATCCATAAAACCCCTTCTGAAATTAAGAATATGGTTTATAAAGATAGAGTGAAACGGTATATATAAAGGAATATTGGTGCACAAAATTTAAAATAAAATAAGTAGTGAATGTATTTTCCCCGCTATGAGCAATTCTTAATCATGTTGCCCAATGTTTCGAACAACTGACTATGGTTTTCGTGTATACACTTCATACAAGTAGTCTAGATCTACCAATATGGATGAGACCAACAGTGAATGACTTTATGATCTGATGCGATGTTTTAGCTTGACACTCCTAGCTTTCAACTCACTCCTACATCAGTCAACAATGCCTATTACGGCAAGAAAAAGGTAGCTAGCTGAAATATTATTTTTTAAAATAAACGCTTAGTCACTAAACTAAAGATTATTTTATCAACTTAATGTTAAATCGTAATAATAATAATTGTTATATCCTAGCGAACATTAAATTATGAGTAACTTCTGAGAATTATTAATGGGCTAATATTATACGCATATTCTTAATGTATAACTATTCAGTAATTAGATTATGTATATATTGCTCTTATTATAAGACTCATTTTGACCTATAGATCATTATTATACGACTAACTGTTCTTAAGTTATGTTCCGTTTGTTAATTACAGTCTCCCACAATCACAGCCATTTTTTGGCCTCATCTTGTACAAATGTCATTTCCCATTGTATGGTGTGATATGGTCTGTTTGGCTGGCATATAAACCGAGTATGTTTGAAATAAATGATTCGCATAGTGGAAGCTGTTATGGGTGGTTTGGACACAAGTGGACGGGCTGGGCAAATAAAGGATCAATAAGGATGCTCGGATGCTCATACAGGTCGAATATCATTGGTTTAGCACAATACTAAGATTGAAGAAGTTGTATTTCGATTGGAGAATAAATCACGTGATAACTAGCCTGGCTTAAGGTCACAATAATAATAATAATGATATTTACTTTACTCAATTCCATAAATTTTGTCACAGTAAGAAATTCTCAACACCAGTTGTGCAATATTTCAACAAGTTCCGCTTTAACATACGTTCAAATGACTATTCATGACTATTCAGTGAGATAAGAATTTGTAACAGTCAACATCTGCCAGTCGCCTTCAATCGCGTAAGCTTTATATCTGCCATAACTAATTTTCCTATTCATCATATATAAGATGCACATATTCTACTATATTCGTATCTCGTTTTTTGCAAAGGACAGACAAGGTGAGAGATATACCAGTAAATTTTGTCTTTGATTGAGTTTTCCAGTGCTTAGTATTGCAATAATTTGTAATGCTTTTATTATAAGCACATGAGTACAAACGGTTAGTATTCATCAGTATTTAGTTCAAAAATTAACTAATATTTGCTGTTGGAAAATAGGTGGTCTGTACATTTAAGTAGATCTTCACCATACAATATCTGTCAATCAAACAACTATACTGAATACTACTATTAATAATAATATGCTCACCAATGACTAGCCACAAGATGGAATTCCTAAAGTTCTAGTGAGAACTTCTAACCAGTAGAATTTAATCAATTTTAATATGAGGGAAGATGGTTATGGAATATCGTGAATTAATTTATTTAAGAAATATTCAATATGGGGAGCGGCTCAGTGATCTGGAGGTTAGTCATTGGCATACGAAAATGGACATCCTGAATTCGGTCTCATGTGGCAAGGCCGTTAGTATGCACTGACAAGGAGTCCCAAACTAGAATGAGACAGTTGTCTAGTGCTTCCTAGTTTTCAGTGGTGGTCTGGCTAAGGTTACTTCGTGGTTTAAATAGAAAATTCTACAATCTAGACAACCCCCTTTTGTACTAATTATACTGAATGAACTAGTATCTGTTGTGATTTAAACATCAAGTGGCTGAACCAATAAATTCCGTACTAAATGAATACTTTTTTTTAAAAAACAGGACCTAATGACCGAGTATATGAGTGGTGTCGCTGACATGATCTTCTTTTCGGATCTGAAACTCATCGTTCGTATTTACACGGTCGGAAAGTTCAGTCAAAATATTAACAACGGGATAATTCAAACTCTTATAAATAAAATCAACTCAAATCTATTTTATGACCTACTTTGTACGAATCTGTTAAATATTTCTAAAAACGACTAACATATTTACGTTTATGTTTGACCTACAATACTTGTAAATCTAGGAATGACTGAGCTATTCAAATGCAAACGGTTCTGGGGCGGACTCGGGAACAGTAGTTGACGTAATCATGTGATCACTGGGGCGAAATCACGGAAATATATCACTAAGAAATAGAGACGATTTAGTCGCTCATCAAATTTCAATTAGTACATGACAGCGAGTCTTGAAATATAATGTATAAAAGACAAGTAATTTTACTGCCTTGATAAAAACAAATTCGGTTATGTATTGAGCCGATATCTGAAAGAATGACGTAATAATACAGAAATTAATGTGCTGAAGACTTTTCTTAACTGGATATACATATTCCCATGATTTTTTTAGGATTGGTTAATATTCAGTGTTTAAGGATCAGTCACATTTATTCGTTTGAATTTTAGACTGGCTGTTATCAGCAATTATCCACTATGAACAGTTCCAGTGAAGCACCGCTGTGTATGATAAATGAAAACCACAAATATATCCGAAGCTGGAGGTTGAAATATTTTTAATGAAAACTATACATTAATATGTAGCACTCACCCACTAGATTGACATAAATAAACGTAAGTCATTGGTGTGACAAACTTAAAGGAAGTTGTGGATTTTCTCAGTCGTCTTAACACTGATCCAATTCATATTGACTAACTTGTGCAAGTTGGAAGAAATTTTCAACATGACCAGGTCTCGTGAACTGTTAGTCTCATTGAAAATTTCAAATTACATTTGACTATTCTTATGAGTTGTGAATTTCCATCAGTGCAAAATAACCACAGTTCGAAGACATTCTCAATATGAAATTGGGACATGACATCGGTCAACCATAATAACAAGAAATGACATTCTGAATAGGTTTGTCAATAACCTGACAAACTGAACCTATTTAGTACAAATCTCATTGGAGTAGAAATTTCTCATTACCTACTTTTCGACTCTACATTCAAGTCTTACAGTCTACTAACCAACATTCTCTAACATCAATATTTCATAACTGTGAACTCAGAAAAGTGGTAATCCATTGTGCAATGTTTCATTGATCGATGTTTCCAATACTGTAAGTGTAAGCTCGGCAAGTTTCAACTAACCAATCTAATGACACCACAGAAAATGTTCAACTAATGCTGACGCAACAGTTGTCGATTTTTCCCAGTGATACTATTCAAATTAGATTTAACGAGGAGATTTTTCATGAATAATTTTCTTCACTCGTAAGTGAACATCTTTATTCGGTCAAAACATTGACTTACCGAGTAAGTACTACACAAACAAAATTATGCAAACACTTCTAAAAGCCATTAAACTGTGCGACTAGTCAGTCTGTGTGCATTCGAAATAATAAAGTGAATTCATCATAGTCTGGTCATTGAGGCTTTCAACTATCGCCTCGTTGAAATTCAGAACTGGATTTCCAGCGACATAAACACTACAGCCATTTTAAAATATTACTTGGATTCAGTAACTCAGTGGATCATTCGTTCTTTTAAAAAAGACGCTCAATTCCAGCTTCAATGTCGTGTGGCGGACACACCCACCTGACTAGCCCGAAGTCAGACCAAACATACATCGCCGATTACACTACCAATCATAATATAACTATTCGAAAGGAAAATTGTGTTCTATTAAAGTTTATTGATTTCCTAGTTCATTTTTTAGATTCCAGTTTCACGTCTCACATATAACTAGATAAACTCCATTGATTTACGCATCATTTAGAATATTTTCGTTTTCGTATTCACATCATGGATACCATTCAATCTGACTGAAAATATTGTTTACTCATAGCAAACATCTACGCTATGCAAGTCCATTCTTCTTTGAAATAATGCTTCAAAGTAGAAAAATCATATGAGAGTCAAATACATTATTTTCAATCAAACTACTAATTAACTTATACTGATACAAATAATTAATTATCATCACTTCCAATCTTAGCACACTTTTCATATCTATGTAAGAGTCTGTGTATTTCTATTGACCTCATTAAAAATTAAGTTGGTCTATAAGAATTAATTGAACAATTATTAACATATCAACTGATTGCTAAATCAATCCAAACTCCTTACAGGGTAATTGATTCACTGTCATAATCTCTGTTTTAATTAGTATAGAACACTGTAGAAGAACCTCATTCATTATACTCTTTATACAAGTATTAATACAACAAAGAATTCACGAGAAATAAGCACCATTCAAACAATTAACTACGACAAATTATTAAATATCAAAAAATCAATAATCAGTTAATATTGTGATATCATCTAATATTCTTACATCGATAACTGTCAATCTAAACTCCGCTCATCTCAACATAATACAACAACACCAATCTATTCATTATTCATTTTCATCATACTAAATTCTCATGTAATAAACACAACCACACCGCTTACAATTAATCCACCTTCAACAACTATCCCAACATCACAGTCAGTATTCCTCAAAGAAACAATCTAATCAATCAAAAGTCAGTCACATAAACACACGCTGAACACTTGAAAGTGTCCACAAAGTAATCAACAAAAGATAAATAAGTACTCGATAAAATAAAAATGCAGCAAAACAAAAGAAAAAACAAGGTTTCTGATCACAATTCTTCCACACTCGAACCACAATGGGTAACACGGCCATGCCCGTCTGTTTATCCATAATATATGTGAGTGTGAGAGTGTACGTGTTTGTGTCCATATATAAATGCATGTATGTATGTGTGTATGCATGCTTTAGCACCCTATGTGTACAATTACATAGTTGGATAGTTGTATATGCACGCATTATATACAAACACATAGGAACTCGATACAACAAACAACATACATACATAGTTAGATAGAAAGATCGAGTCAAAGCAAGGGAACGATGCGTACATTCATACAGAGGTCAACTAAGACTTCTCATTCCGCTCAGTCAATGCACTGTTCAACAAATTCCAATAAACGACGACCGTAGAATTCCGGTTTTACAGAACCACCATCAGCACCATGTTTCACTGTTTTGTAAGTTTGCGCTGTACGTTTACGCATCCCATAACGGGTTAGTATGTCGATAATAGCCACAAAATAGATCAGTGGATGAGGAGAATCTGTCAAACAACAAGGAAAACAGGATAACACAGCAATATAATCCATATGAGGAGCAACGTATTTCATCAATATATATATATATATATATGTATATATCAAAAATCTTTACTATTGAAACAATGTCTGCCGTTCACGCATTTCACTCAAACATCAGTCATTCAAACGACTTCCTTTCGATGCAACTTCATAAACCTACATCTTAAATGAGGTGTACCGTGTGCATGTGTACATTTATTCAATAACAAACTGTTATGATAAACACAAATATCAGAGAACAATCGGATGAATACACACGGCAAAATATTGAATAGTCTACATCTAGAATCTCCTCGTGTCTACCTATTATACTGGACATTAAGGAGTGCACGAAATAGTCTCCATGCTGCTCCTGTCTCATCTGTTCCCCTTTTACAACATTAACCGACCATAACTAATACCTCAATGCGATGGCCATGTTTCCTTAGTGTGAACTGTCAGTTCGGACAAGTGTTCCACTACCACTCACTCCCCTATTCCGCACAGGTTGGTAGCAACGTCATTAAATTTATCAAGCTAATAAAAACATCCGTCGATTTCTACCGTACACCAGACTGATCCAGTCACTCTCACTGAAAATGTTCACACTTCACTCATAGGTTTTGTAGAAACGAGAATTAATGCTACACACACACACACATACACACACACACAAACATTAAACATCATGTATTTCATTGAAAAAATACAAACACAAAATATCCTCTTACCAATTGAACTTTTGATTCCATAATGTTCCAAAGTAGGATGCAATTCACCTGAGAATAATTGAGGTAGACATTCTGCACCAGGTGGACTATCCGGTGGGGTCAATTCACCTGAAACGAACAACACAGAGAATGTATACAAAGAAAACCAAACCAACTATTGAACTGCATCTTCGTCTATCTTCAAGTCCTTACATACAATTCTCATACAATCAAGCAAACATTAGTCCATCCGCGTGATGCGCAATACGATCAACCATTCATGGACACACAGTACATTACCGCACATGCATGCATTCATGTCAATCCGACTCGCCACATCTCAACTCTCATCAGCATTGTCAAAATGGAAGTAAACAAGATGAGCAACAGACAAACGGAACTACAAGTATTTTCATAAAAAAGCAAACGGATCACCGAGATCCCGATATTAAGATCGACTTTTAGTCGCGTCACTTCAACATCTTCAGTCGCACAATATGATCACTCAGCTGGTCACAAAGATGAATGGCCGAAACCAAGTCAGTTCAACTGCGCATTGCGACCATTAAGCGAGCATCAACTACTGAGTCTCCAGTCAACCCCACACAGGTCACTCCAACAGTCACTCTCTTCATAAATCAAACAGTCTCATCACTTCGTTTACCTACCACTCCCATCTATCTATCTATCTATCTATCTATCTATCTATCTATCTATCTATCTATCTATCTATCTATCTATCTATCTATCTATCTATCTATCTATCTATCTATCTATCTATCTATCTATCTATCTATCTATCTATCTATCTATCTATCTATCTATCTATCTATCTATCTATCTATCTATCTATCTATCTATCTATCTATCTATCTATCTATCTATCTATCTATCTATCTATCTATCTATCTATCTATCTATCTATCTATCTATCTATCTATCTATCTATCTATCTATCTATCTATCTATCTATCTATCTATCTATCTATCTATCTATCTATCTATCTATCTATCTATCTATCTATCTATCTATTTATCTATCTATCTATCTATCTATCTATCCATTAATCTATCTATCTATCTATCTATCTATCTATCTATCTATCTATCTATCTATCTATCTATCTATCTATCTATCTATCTATCTATCTATCTATCTATCTATCTATCTATCTATCTATCTATCTATCTATCTATCTATCTATCTATCTATCTATCTATCTATCTATCTATCTATCTATCTATCTATCTATCTATCTATCTATCTATCTATCTATCTATCTATCTATCTATCTATCTATCTATCTATCTATCTATCTATCTATCTATCTATCTATCTATCTATCTATCTATCTATCTATCTATCTATCTATCTATCTATCTATCTATCTATCTATCTATCTATCTATCTATCTATCTATCTATCTATCTATCTATCTATCTATCTATCTATCTATCTATCTATCTATCTATCTATCTATCTATCTATCTATCTATCTATCTATCTATCTATCTATCTATCTATCTATCTATCTATCTATCTATCTATCTATCTATTTATCTATCTATCTATCTATCTATCTATCTATCTATCTATATATCTATCTATCTATCTATCTATCTATCTATCTATCTATCTATCTATCTATCTATCTATCTATCTATCTATCTATCTATCTATCTATCTATCTATCTATCTATCTATCTATCTATCTAACTAACTATCTATCTATCTAGTCTAATCTAATCTATTCTATTCTAATTCTATCTAATCTATCTATCCATCTACCTTTCTACGTACCTTTCTTCCAATGTCAGGCATCGTTGTACGCACTGGATACACTTAGGTTGACATCAAGGCCACTTGAAATCATCAAAAGTAGAACAAGATACAAATTACCGCACGAATAATACATCAACGCACAACACATCCAGTTCATCATACATGCACAACTACACACGCACACTGACAGGATGGAAGGTGAGAGAACCACCGAGTCATTCCACTTCAGTTGGAAGGAAATACCTCATAAGCATTGTCTATTTGGAGTGATTAGACAAATTCAGTGGAAAACATTACCAAACAACGTCTTTCACCAGGAGAGATATGCACACACCCATTCCAAAATAATAATATAATAAAAGAAAAAAACAATTACCACTTCACAATAGTAATAACATCTCACTGCAATCAGTCTTAAAATGAATTCTCATCAAATGTACGTATACACGTGTGCAGCATTGTTTGTTCAATCATGCACCCATCACAATAAACACACACACACACTCAGGAAAATCAGCTGACAACTTCACCGTTTGCAATCAACTCATTGTACAATTCGCATAAACATACAATGTCATTTGTGCTCGATCAACATCAACCTTATTCACACAACTCCGCATTCAACAACACAAATCAGTCACACAATCAGTCAGTCGATGAAATCCAATTACAATTATAATGTTAATTAATGCTAAGACAGAGTAGTCAGTCGAATTGAACTCTCTAACAACAAATGGAATAACACAAGAATAACAATATCACACATACTTGTAGGGACTTGTGTATTGTTCTCTGGTATACTGATACCGTCCTCCTCTTCATCGTCATCATCACCTGTGCTCGCATTCCCAGTACCAACACCACAACTAGCAGCCTCGGCAGCTGCTGACGAGCTCAGACCAAGCACAATACTCGATCTAGCCATCGACAAACGACCACATTGCCATTGTGAGCTAAGTGTTCCAAGACCGTCACCTGCAGACACCATCCTGTCATCGAAGCCTCGACTGTTAGGCTCCAACACACCACCACCAGTCCCTTCACCGTCATCACCAGCATCCTCAATTGAATTAGCCAATGCAATCTCGGGATTATGCACTCCAATAAGAAGGCTGTAGTCGATCAAATTGTTCTCCTGTAAGAACTGTCATGAGGCAAAAAAAGAAACAAACAAACACAATCACAACATTGTGCATCACTAAGTAATCCAATACATCCATGTCGAATGTCTACAAACCACAAACCAGAGGGACACATCAACGATCAAATGCACATCATGTCAATTCATTCACTCAATACATTGATTACCAATTCAACCAATTCCTATTCAGTATGATACAAGTCAGTCGCTCGACACTTGTTACTGAGATATCATTTCACAATATACACTGCACTAATGATATAACACTGATCACTGTTCAAATACTATCGTTGCTCATTCATATTTCGAGTAATAATCAAAAATCACAGTTAGTTACCAAAGCAAGAATATGGAAAAACCGTTTATTACTAACTCAATGATAAACTACTGTCAATTTATTATCAGAACACATAGTTCGGTCTCCATCTTTACCTACTACCATATTCTTAACACAGGAATCACTTACTCGGTCCTCCCAAAATACACCAGCAATGTTTCCAAGACGCCTACAACCAAATACTAGGAACCTAAGAATACCCTCTATTCTTAATGGTCGTATTTCACGACCGTAAAGTCTCCAACTCCCCTAGGTAGATACTTCATAACCACCAACCAGGTTAAGGCGCCGGACATTCGCCTTTCGTCCTCTCAACTTCGTAAATAACACCCGCACCACGAGAAAGCAGTGTGTAGCACTTCCCTGGTTCTGGTTGTAAGCACGTGGCCATGTGAGAGCGTTTCGAGAGAAAGAGTGGATTCTCAAGTAGAAGAAACGCATCCCAATCATCTAGGCATTGTTACTCAGTGCTACCAAAACACTATGCATTTCATCAGCGTCTTCGTTAAACAGGACTATGTCATCTGTGTATTTTAAGTCGAAAAGTGGATCTCTTAGTAGGAGATCAATGCCCGAAAATCCAGTCGATGAGAGCGTTATTTCCATCAGTAGCTCTATGACAAGGTTGGACACAAATGGAGATAGTGGACAGACTTGACGGACACCATTTGACGTTGCGAAGTCAGATAACAGTTTGCCACAAGCTCTGACTCGACTGGTAGTGTTCGAGTAAAGAGCTTTCTCAAGGTTTTGTACTTCTGAGGTACGTCTTTCAATGACAGACACTGCCACACAATCTCCCGGTCTACAGAATCAAATGCCAGATTTAAGTCAAGAAAGACCAGCATTCCCGGGCGCCGATAAGCATGTTTGTATTCTAAAAAACCCGACGAATGGTGAATATGTGGTCGATACAACCACGACCAGGTCTCAAACCAGTCTGCTTTTCTCGTGTTTGCACGTCACGAGTATTTGTTAGGAGCCCGATAATTACTGACGCTAGCATTTTAGATGCTATTCAGTTGAGTTTTAAACAGGTTCACATTACAACACAGCAAACCAACGTAGCACAGCCGTTATTAGCAACGTTCTAGATATCCACGTGTAACAAGGTGTATCAGAATATGTTGCACCGATCTCATGCAAATTACACACACACATACACAAATGGTAGGAGACACTCAGGATGAAATCAATTCTAATATTAATTGGACGATTCCGATTACCTCCCGTTATGATGCATCGTACACCTCTCTACTAAAACAGATGTTAACCACTGCACAGATTGTGGCAACACACATATTGGTATTCATGATAGTAATAATAGTAATGGTTGTGAAATCTCAGATGATCAATGAGTGCAATCGAAAGTGTTACACAGCATAACAAACACGATTTAGAACTAAATAAAATATCTAGACACCTTAACTGTTTCACGACGCAGCATACGACATACAAATATCTAGATCACATTAAAAGTAAATTACAACGGTACAACAACACTGAACACAATGTAGATATGCGCTATTCACAAATTCAATAATTCATACGTTAGTAATGAAGATTGAAAGTGTAGGTGTAGACAGTTGTAACACATCACACCATGTGCTACAACAAAATAGTACTCCTAGTAGGGTTACCACGTCACATGTTTCCTTCATGTGATGCGTGCAGATCAGCATAGAAATTGCGGAAACACAAACAACCACAACAATACGAAGCAGAGAAGCGAACTTTTCAAGGTCTCGCTGAAATCATATTGATGAAACTATGTACACTTCATTAGCGAAAAGAAGTGAAAAAAGACAGAGTAGAAAATAAAATGTCAGGTTCATTCTCATCTTTCGATGTAATAAAAAGAACAACAGAATGATAAGAGCAAACTAATCGATAATTAGAAGACACAAAAAAGATATGAGGAACTCAAAAGCTCAAATTTTCAGAAAGAGTCAAACAGTAGATGCACCTGGGCACCACAAACCATTTCCAGCCATGTCATTCAAAGTATACGACCATTCGTTACAATAACCATACGGACCCTAACCAGCTAGTCTACACAATTCACATGGCTCAGTCCAATTGTTAACAACTTCATGGACTGATGCCATGTTTCGGTTTGTCGACTTCTAACTTTCTTCCATACTATTCCTACACCACACGATATCATCCGTTGAGATCGGTGGTGGTTGAACACACGTAACACATGTCCCAACCACCCCAGTCGATGAAGAAAGCTAACGCAAAGTTCGGTCTCCATCTTTACCTACTACCATATTCTTAACACAGGAATCACTTACTCGGTCCTCCCAAAATACACCAGCAATGCTTCCAAGACACCGACAACCAAATGCTAGGAACCTAAAAATACCCTCTATGCTTTAATGGTCGGGTGCCTTGAACAACCATTAACGCTAACATTTTGGACACTACATCAGTTAAACCGGTTCCTTTGTGATTGTCACAAGTAAAACAAAGGCCAGTTGAACTGTTCCCTAAAGTGTTCCGTCAACCGATCCAATCTCCTGCACTGAGAATCAATAGTAATCCCAGCTTTTACCGGCCTAGTCACACTAATAGAAGGATTTTTAATACACACATCCTTGATAAGTCTGAACAGTTATCTACTGTTACCTATCGACGATGCCTTTTTCATCTCTTAGGCTTTCACTACTCACTCACCACTGCTCATAATCATACTCAATATGCACAGTGAATGGGAACATGCTCACGAGATTTGCATACACTGACACAAAATTCTCACCTCTTCTACTGCATTAAGTGATATGAAATCTACTAAGCAAATCTCCTCAGGGTTATGTACGAAGTCAATGGTTTGTCTGATGGCCAAATGTTTTACAAACGACAAATATCACCATACTATGGATTAATAATAACACATAACGATAAGCAGCATACCGTACTCTCGAATCACAATAACTGTAAACATATTCAATAGGAAACTCCCATCAAACAACACTAAAGAAGAAAATGTCATAATTATAACATAATAAAATCAACTAGTCACATGAAAGTGAGGGGAGTAATTATGATTATGATTATGACGAAGATTAGAGTGGTGATGAAGATGGCACAGTCGATTGTAGGAAAGTGCATCCAAGTGTGGAATTCATTGTCAAGAACAAAGTAAAACATATTCTCAACATCTGTGAAATTTCGATTCTTTCTTAAGTACCAATGACATGACTACTTCAAGAGTACACAAGCACTACATGTGATCTTGTCTTATTGAAAGTAACCATTTAAATATGAAACTGTCACACCACTACCAATCACAAACTCTATACACTTCCCAACAGAATACGAACACACGGTCAGTCAGTGTTCCTATTCATTCACTTCACAATTACAACTCCCGACCGAAGCTGCTACCTTGACGCGGTGGTCGGGCTTGCCTATCGTGATGACCCAACCGAGCTATATTGGCTGGAACATATGTTCCTGTAGGTTCTACCATGCCAGGCAGGTCGATTGGAGAACGGTAAGACTAAAAGCAGCAACTCAAGGTCTGAGGGCGGAGTCGTATTGCTGACTGTAGAGGGGTGTGACAGTAGTAAGGTGTTTCCCTCGGACAACCAGCATCTGCAGTGATGCTGCCTTCCCACAAGGAGGGGTGGGGTTAGAAAAGGTCAACCCTAAAAATGTCACACCTCACCTTACCTCACGGATTTCCGTCTCCGGCGATAAGGCCCTTTGAAGAACGGAGCTAACACATCAAAAACCTTCCACGAAAAGGCCGTGCGCAACCGGCCTCAAGCAGTTGTCCCTTGGGCTCTGCGGTCACGCTCCCAGGTCGTTAAGACCAACACTCATCCGACTTCTATTTCAGGTTCCTCAAGAAATACCCTTCCACGGTGTGGGCAGCCGGGAAGTGATATCAGCCCTCATACAAGTAACAGCACACGAGACCAAGTTGGTCACATTCAAATCCTTCCTACACCTCCTAATAACTCGTATCTCCACGACTAACCCTTCTCACGCCCCTTTATCACCTCGCACCGCTAGGGCAAACGATTTGAGTACGCGGAACGTCTCCTGAAACCACGCTCTAAACTACATGTAGGAGCTTTTAAAGTCCGAACACTGTGCCAAATAGGACAACAGGCTTCCTTAGCTAGGACTTTAGAATCTCGCGCCATCGATGTGTGCTGCGTCTCCGAAGCGCGCATACAGGATCCGAGTAGCGTCATTCATCTGACCTCACCATGCCAAAATAAAGAACCGACTCGATTCACACTTCGTGTATCTGGAAGCCCTGATTCTGCTTCCCGTGGCCTCGCCGGCGTAGGTATAGCATTGAGTCCTAGGGCAGAACTAGCTCTCTTAGAGTGGATCCCAGTAGACAGTCGTTTGTGCGCTGTCCGACTGAACGGAACAGTAAAGACTCGGAAAGATAGGGAAACTCGTCGTTGCCTCTTCGTCGTCTCTGCCTATTCTCCCACTGACTGCAGCTCAGATGATGTAAAAGATAAGTTTTACAAAAAGCTCTCCGACCTTCTACAAAAAGCTAGGCGCTCTGATGTAGTAATAGTGGCCGGTGACTTTAATGCTCAAGTAGGTAGACTAAGCGATAGGGAAAGACACCTGGGTGGGTCTTATAGCATCGTGGCTCAAAGAACAGATAATGGCGACCGTCTGTTGCAGCTATGCTCAGATAACCACCTGTTCCTTGCAAATACCAACTTTAAGCATAAGGAAAAACATCTTTTAACATGGAGACCCCCTAATTCGTCCCAACGTTGGAACCAAATAGATCACATCGCTATCAGCCACCGATGGAGGGGCTCGATAGAAGACTGTCGCTCATTCTGGAGCACACGCTTAGATTCAGATCATGCTCTAGTACGAGCGCGTATCTGTCTGCGTCTTACTGGACGTAACAAAGACGCTGCAAGTAAACCTCTTAGGGCCCTACTTAATGATAGTCAAGCTAAGAATATTTTTCAGGAACAACTAGGAAAACAGTTAGGCAGCCATGTATGTGATGTCCACCCCGAGGCAGCATGGAATGATATCCGAAAACCTGTGGAAACAGCAGTACGGTAACTCGTAACGTTAGGGAGCAACACTGGATCTCAGCAGCATCTATTGCACTGATAGATGCTCGGAAACTCATTCCACCTGGCTCTGAACATAATGAAGAGCGGAGTCAGCTTAAGCGCAAGCTGATAAGAAGTCTACGCAATGATCGTGAACATTGGTGGGTAGCGAAAGCAAGAGAGATAGAAAAGGCAGCGGCAATAGGTAATAGCAGACAATTGTTCAGACTTGTTAAGGAAACCGGTATTAGGAACCCGACCGTTAGCGAAACACTCTCAGAGAGAGATGGACATATTATACATTCTCAATCCAGGAGATTGGATCGATGGGCAGAACACTTAAGGGATCAGTTCAGTGTAGGATTCAAGAAACACTTGGGTTAAAAATTTAACAACCTATATCTGTATTTCATTCGCGATCTCCAGTCAACCTGAATGGAAAATTAATTTAGGTCCTCCGACTCTCTATGAAGTTGAAAAAGCTATCGGTTTGACTAATATAGTGTCTAAAATATTAGCTTCAATAATACTTCGACTCCTAACCAAAGCTCGTGAAGAGCAGATTAGAGGAAATCAGGCCGGTTTTCGACCTGGACTTGGTTGTATAGATCAGATATTCACACTACGTCAGGTTCTAGAACACAGACACACATTCAGACGCCCCACAATGGTAGTATTTCTCGACCTTAAGGCGACATTCGACTCTGTCGATCGTAAGGTTCTATGGCAGTGTTTGTCACTGAAAGGAGTACCAAAGAAGTACATTAACCTTATAAAGGCTCTCTACTCGAACACAACTGGTAGAGTGAGAGCTTATGGCGAACTGTCATCAGAATTAATTACCTCAAGTGGTGTTCGTCAGGGCTGTCCACTCTCTCCATTCTTGTTCAACTTTGTCGTCGACGTACTTTTAGAGATAACACTCTCCTCATCTAAATTTCCATGGGTTGAACTTCTACCGGAAGGTTCACTTGTTGACTTGGAATATGCCGATGACATAGTTCTATTTGGCGAAGACGCTGACAAAACGCAGAGTCTTCTGACCACTCTAAGCAACAATGCAAGCTTGTTCGACATGCGACTCTCCTCCTCGAAATGCAATATGTTGCTTCAGCATTGGGTTACATCGACACCCGAACTAATGATAGGGAGTGAAGTAGTTGAGCGTGTCGACCGCAGTTGTTAGGAAACGGGTACTAGGTAAGGATAGCAAATCAATTGATGACGTAGTGAAATTTCATCAGTTGAGATGGCTGGGACACGTGTTACGTATGCCCAACCACCGACTGTCTCGACGTGCTATGTTCAGTGGTATAGGAGTAGGTTGGAAGAAAGCTAGGGGCGACCAGACCAAAACATGGCACAAGTCCATGAAGTCACTGACAAGTGGACTGAGTCATGTCGGTAGGTGTAGACTACCTGGTTGGGGACCGCGAGATGATGGCAACCGATGGTTAGAGACCCTGAATGACATGGCTCAAAATCGTTTGCAATGGCGCAGGTGCATACACTTTTTGTGTTCTCCCAAATTTTGATCTCTTTATTCCTCTTTGTCTCTTTTTTTTCTCTTCCCAAATTTATTTCACCGTATTATACTCTTTAAGTAACATCTCCAAACACTAATTTTCCCGATTACTGCTTATACTCTTAGTACATATACCACTACGGGATTTGAATCGACCACTGCATCTCTGTGCTAATGTGGTGTGGCAACTCGAACTGATGTACGTACGTACGAAGTTCTACGTTGTTACTGACTGGCTGACAATTACGACTCATTTCCAACTGGCAGTATACACAGAATATAACTGCAAGACATCTTCGAAAATCTGTCACATGCTTGAAAAGTCAATCTACACAAAACCGACAACATAATGGTAAAACAAATGCATCATGCACTCAGCTAATCAATCAATCAGTGAAGCAAACAAGCAAGCAAGCACCTACTTGTATATCACATTCCAGAGTACTCAACATCTTCTTTTTAGACTCTTCACCAATATGCATTTTGCACAAATCTGTTAGAAAATCTGCATCTTTCAGAGTTGGCAAGGGCTTCGACTATACAAATAGTAAAAACACAGAACAATTAATACACAGTGAAGTGAAACAAGTCAACGTATGAGTGATTCACACTTACTTCGATCATTTAGTCTTGGTAGTCAATGTGATTACGCACACAAACGATTGATGTAGCTACTTCACTTATTACTCTCCCGATCAAACAAAACTTTTCGTAACTTCATAATGAAAACCTACCCAACTTGCAAACACCGGTAACTCACACGCATCCCAGTGATTCATGTCAAACCAGACTACAACTCTTTCATAGTTGACAATATGTGAAAATATTGAAGACTGAAATGTCGACAGTCAATTAAAGTTGAGAAAACTCCAACACTATGCTAAGTAATGTCTGATATGACTACAGGGAACATTCACACTTACAGTAGAGAAGCCTTCTGAGCAAGACACATCTCGTCTTCAATAGATGTCAACATATTCAGTCAATATCGACATCTCCACAGATTACTCAGTCGGTATCAATACAACTTTCCAGAGGTTCTTCGAGCAACAAAGTCAAACCAATTCGAGATTCTACAAGGACCGATTGACATTAAATAATTATAATAGAGTACACACAATATCATCGCTAAGAAGTCTCTCCTCTCGGCAAAACGATTAAGAGGAAAAGATTCGCAATTCCACATCAAGTGAAGGGACTGCATTTCCTCTCTGTCGTCTACAACAACAAACGACAACTCAGTCACCTCAATTGTCCTCTCTTCGAAAACACATCGCAATCTGCTGTTCACTACCTTCACACAATGCTCATCACACCAAAATATTTACCACTTTCAATAATGGTACCAAAACAGGATACATTCTATGCTTTATTACACAAATTCAACTATTAGATTTTACTGGTAGTTTGCACATTTCTACTTTGTTTACACTCAATCTCTGAACAAAATAATTGGTATCACAAAAATAAAAATAAAAAAACAAAATTAAATCCAATACACATGATGATCATTCACAATGGTGATAGATTAAAAGAATCAGGGGGAGAGACGATACTAATATTTTTGTTTAAATGCACAAATCCAAACACAAGAGCACCTTGAAATGAAGCGACACAAGGAGGGGAACAATGGCGCTAAGGAGGAAACAGGTGGTGCACAAATGTTACAAAGTACACAAGAACAACAACAACAGCAACATAATACGTTGTTTAACTATAGTCAGAGAAAGATGTACACAACAATACGGCATGTACAGTGAAAGCATGATATTATGCACAACAATCATATATTCACACGAAGCTTTGTACCATGAAAATGCAGCACAGCAAATATCGTTGTTGTAAGTAGGAGATAAATAAATTCAATGTACTTATGACCATTGTGGCAGTAATACCAACAGTTAGCAGATAAGACTACTACTACTACTACAAGCTAACATGATGATAGCGATGATAATTACTGCCAATCATAAATTGAAACTATTTGTCACCCATTTTATACAACTGGCTCAACTGAATTTATCTAACAAGAGTAACAAGAAATGTAATCGATCAGTTGAATGAGTGGCAAAATCATCAGACAGTAGTCACACACAACAACCTTAGATAACAGATAGTGTTTATGGCTGACGAGTCATCATTGAACAAATTGTCTTTGCTTCATAACAGACATCGACGCGATTCTGTATTTCACTTTCGTGTAAATAGTAAATTAGTGGTTGGTTTGAGCCTCTAAACAGACGGTCTAGTAAGAGCTCACACGACTACGTTAACATGATCCCGTTTATATCACGATAAATTTGAGTAGGGAAATTCTTATACTAACCATCTTTTCCTCACCTACACTTTACCACTCGTTAGTTTTTCAATCAACCATGACTGTGTCTACCGAATCTGAACTGTACCGACTAAATATCTGGCTTACTAGTCCACAAGATAATGCCATCTTCCAACTAAACCCACTGCATTCTCGACAGTCGGACAGTACCCTTAGGTAATACTCAAGATGCGTGACCATAGTGTCCTACTGAAACATGGATGTAATCAATCAGATGAATTCCCATTAATTATCAGTGGTTCTCTTTTAATTCTGACTTTTATTTCCTACGCATAAATCTATACTTGTATGTAGACTTATGACACTAACCATGCAACAATTATAGAACATTATGAATTTTAAACTCTGTAACAATTTGAAGGAATGTTTCATGTCCTTAACAAAGTCACACATACATATAAACACATTCATAGAAAATATTCTATCTGTACAAACTCATTTCACATCATACTAATTTTAGTTATTACACATTCAATTGTCATTGGTCAATATGAATAAGACCTAGTACCACGCAATCAATAATTCTAGAATGTACTGACTATACAGCAAACACTAAAGACTAACTACGCAACAGACCGTAGACATCTTGCATCATCATTTCATTGCTCAATGTCTTCATCTTAGAAATAATCCACAACACCATGCAGCACATAGATAAAACCTCGTCTTCTATAAGGTCAATTTTGGTTCAGAAAATGACTACCTTACATTCAATCCCGAGAATGACACGTGATAATAGAAAAGCTATTGATAACAACACCCCGAACAATTTCTAACCAAATATTCAGTCAGTAGACTTCGAGCAGTCTGCAAATAGGAATCACGTACAATCTCTTCATTGTACAGTACTACACTCTGTCAGACACAGGCTCCGTCATCATAAGCTATTTTCTTGCTGAATAAAACTTCAAGACCTATAACATGCAAAGTAATGTCATATGCCAAGAAACATATTTTCACATACATTTAACAATATAATCTGATAATGAATAATTTCAAATTGTACAATTACATCGTATTGGAGAAGGTGAATGTCAATTAGTTAATGATAATAGACAGTCAGACAGAAACATCCGTACTGCAATATACACATTTCCTAGTCTGTGTATTCGTCATTATATATAGTTTGCTCACGTCTAAACAGTGTTTCTGATCGGCTTTTGGATGCAGTGTGAGTAAGTAGTTATGTGGCTAGGTTTATAGTGCCAAGCGAATGAGACACCCTCAACACATTATTTCCTGTGGTAATTACCATAATACAAATTTACCCACTAATACTCATAAACAAGTTGTCCAAGTATTATTTAACACTTGAAATCCATAAGATATGGTCCTTGGTAGCATAGCATATCGATCAAGCCAACCACCACCACAACTATGTGTACACTATACTTACCGGGTAGAATAGATAAAAACAAAGTGTTTTCATGACACCATGTCTAGAAGTTTATCACAGCAACCATTCAACTACAACGCGTAGACATCTGTTTTAGACGTCTCGTGCTGACAACCACATAACAACAGAGAAAGCAAGTAATCACAAATCTGCCTAACACACTGAAAACAAATGCACAAACACATTCCATGCAAACACGGAAATTGACTGATATCACAGTGAAAAAGATCATGAACACAACGATGATAATGACGAAGAGAAAGAAAATGATGTGAGCTCACCTTCTCCTTTTCGTTGGCTTCACGATCCACAGCTGAGCCCTAATTACGAGGATAAGGATACAGTGTATGGACGACTAACTCAACAAGTTTTTGGGTAACACTAGGCAAAACGACACACGTTAGATGATGAGCACAGTCCAAAAACAATAGTCGACACAGATGGATGATTACCACTACTGTTGTGTCCCGAAAAGAATAATGAGTGGTAGTTTTTTGGGATCTATTTGTGGACCAATACTATACGTATATTTTTATCGTACGATGTGGTCTGCTTGACCGGTATATAAACAGAGTATGTTTGAAATACATGATTCATATTGCAGAGGCTGAGATTGGCGTTCTGGACTTAACTGGCTGGGCTAGGCGGAAAGTAGGAACAATCAGAACTCTAGGCTGCTCGCGCGTGTTTTACGCATCCTTGATCCGATCGATAATTCGCTGCTTCTGATTGGCGGCTTTGGGCTATAACAACTACAGAGACAAAAACAGTAGTTAGCACCTACGTTCATGAGAAGTTACATACGAATCCAACTAATTATGTTGATGGAGTTTTGTTCTCTGAGTTGGATGGTTTGATCGTGGAGCTTTCATCGTTCTTCTAAACGACATCATCAGCACAAATTTCAGAGAGCAAAACTCCATCAAAATCATCCACCTGAGCTACAAATCTTCTCCACTATCTCAAAACTAATTATTACTTCAAAGTTTTCACCAAAAGCAGAATTATCTAAACAAGGAAGGTAACCGTGCGAAAATACTATTGATAGGTCTCCATTTAAAACGCATCTGTGACTGTTTGCCAGAATATTCAAATAAGCAAACCATATGGAAATATGAAAGTTGTTTCAACAATGCGTCCAATGCATCTCTAACGAGTACAGCGTGTCTATCTGTATGTTTGTCTCGAAGTCAAACTCACTGTATGACAGTAAAACTAACATCTGGATAGCACAGTCAACGTGGGACAGGATTTATAATTGAGATCTAATGGTTGAATGCCAAACAGAAAACCCATTGCACACAAGTTTAACCAATGTTTAATATCTTCACAACTGTGATCACTTTTCAGAACTTGGTCAGCTAGGCTCGCACCCAAAAAGTGGTTTGAAGTGTCAAGTGTTAAATATTTAGAAACAGCAACACACTTAGTCAAGGTGATTCCGTATGAGACAACACTGTGTTTATTTATGTGTATGATGGTGGGTATATAAAATGTGTAATTTGTACTATGAAAAAGTAGAGTTAGTATTTCAGCTGTATATGTGTAGATGGCGTGCAAAATGGATAGAGTTAAATGTGGTTGTTTGGAGAAACATTCCAGGCTGGATGCATGGTCAAGCCTCTTTTCCTATTGAGGGAAGAGGGACTTAGCATCATATGCAGTGTTTCAACTGCTCTCTTCTTTCTAGCTGGAAGAACCTTTCTACATTATCTTGACATTTTCAATATATCGATTTGGTGATTATTAGAAATAACATGTACTGCTATCCACTATATAATTTCCACGTTCTTTATCCCTACGGGATTATTATGTCTTTTGTGTGGCTTAGGTGTTCCTTGATAAGAGTCAAGATCTGACAAGAAGACTCTCCAATATAGAACGCATCACATCAACACAACACAATCTGTACACACGATCTTGTCTAGATGTAAACGGGGTCTCATCTTTTATTCCAATTTAAGAGTTTCGTGGAGTATTGGTTGTTGTTTTTTCTTCTTCATAGAAAGCTTCGATTCTGTGTTTTCAAGATCATTCGTAATTCTTCAATCGCAAATTGGCGATAAGGCAAATATACACAGTACCAATAAAAAACTTCCATTAAAACGGTCATTTATAGATGGATAATTTCGATTTAATATATTTTTAATAGTATTTATAGGACAATTGTCAGATCGTAAGTTGTTGATTATGTTGTCTTTTCCCTCCATCTTGCCCTTCATGTATATAGTTAGATTTAGATTTCCACTAGGATTTCTTTTAACGAAACAGTCTAAGAACAGTAATTCGCTATGTTCATCTTCCTTTCCGAATGTAAATTTGATGTTTGCTGAGAACGTATTTATCAGTTCAAAGAAATTTCTCAGGGGAATTCTCAATGACGACAAATGTGTCATCTATGTCTGAGCCTGATGCGTGGTCTGGTGGTAATGGCAAAGGTAACCGACTAAATATGGAACATAAATAAATTAGCAACAATCCAAGATACTGAAGATCCTATGGCCACTCCACTTGTTTGTTTATTTAAAGTCCCACTGAAAGTCAGCAGAGTTGAATTCAAACATAGTTTGGAGGATTTCATGATTGAACTAGTGTTTAACGAACATCACAAAAGCATGATTATTTTATCATTATATTCTACGCCTGTTCTTTATCGACTGATAATTGTTCAACATGTGAATATATACAAATAATGGAAAATACTTGTCACTAGATTTACGTATATTCAAACTGGAATCTATGAGCTCTACACTTTATTTGGAAAACACTCCAATCTCCACCTACACATTGTCTCATCAGTAATACCGCAAATTTATATCGTATTATATAGAAATTATACTCATTAACTCAACAGACTTTATCACCAGTGATAAGTGAACAGGCACACAAACACTCAGAGTTCTCAATTACTTACATGATAAAGTTAAAATTACATAATTAACTATGAAACAGGGGTCCGAAAACATAACAGGATTTATGCCGTTTTGTCACTTGACAATTGCTAACCTATTTACAACCTATCTAGCTTAATTGTCTAGTCAGTCAGTTCATTGGTTAGTCTGTTAGTTGCTTAATTTATTCGCTCCTCTATGTATGACTGGTATACTCACCGAATAAAATAAACGAACAGAAACAACCACTTGTTAGGCGTTAACAGAATCATAAAACACTCTTGAAACGTTGTAAGTGTGCACAAATAGAAAACAAAGCGTTAGAAGTGTCAACATTTCATCGTTGTCCTGTGTAACAATCACAAGGAAAATAAATACGCTCACTAAAAAAGAATGTTAGTGGTCAGTAACTGATACGTTATTCACTAATTCAAACACACTGAAGAATTTCAAGTGTATGTGAGGGATAACTTCGGAATCTACAGGACACTGACAACTAAACTGCCTTTCCTATTCCGCTACACACCCAATCACGAACACAAACGCAATCAGTCGAACGCATACACAAGGATTTTGGTTAGTTCAGTGTGAGTAGCAATAAAAAGCTACGCATAAGAGAGCAACACACTTCACACCATCAGGGTATTAGAAAGGAAACAAATCAAACGGTGAGTAGGTTGATGCATGTGTAAAGTTACAATAACATGACATACACCTGTGGTACTTTGAAACGAATGCTTTTTAATCCGTAGACGACGTTTATGCTCCTTGTTTAAAACTGTCACAGGATTGTCAATGTTGATCTTGGAACTCGACAATTCAGTCGACCCATGAGCGACGAAGGAATGAATACTTACAGAACGTTTCACATGATGACTTGAATACAGAATATTCTACAGGTGAAAATGTGGAAAGCACACAAAGACAAATAACTCTGCACCTATTAGAGTAAACTACACAAAGTCATACATCCATCCTCAAAAGTCACTATGTCAAACTTACTCATTCACATTTAAAAAATGCATACACACAAAATCAACCACAACTAACTAATAATCAACAGATCGTTACCTTCAAATCATATTTCTTGTGAATCGCAAGTCTTGGGCTGAACACATTCCTCATTACTAAGATATACGACTCCTGATCATTCACTGTAAGTCGATAAAGTCCAAGAAATTGAGGAAGCAGTGTTTGGCCGTGTCCTTTGACAATGTACTACAAGAAAGAGAGACACATTAAAAGATAACAATCAATCAGGCGGCATGTCAATAACAAACGATAATCGAAATTCGAACCACACTGAGAGCAATACCAGTTCAACATTTAATTGTTCGGCATTCTGACATTACTCCAAAAGCAAGTTTCTTTTTCGATGCACACTGGAACCATCTGGTTGCTACAACCAAATAACAGTAGCGTTTTGTGATGAATTACGAGCAACATTTACTGACAGCCTTTACATTGCATCAGATACAACAATGCACATGACACAAGAGCTTATGGTTACGTCATGAAAACAAAATCTAACTCATGAATCTAACAAACCATTCTACCTATTCAACATTATGTACCGTTAATTTACTCATCAAATTAAACTACACCGACACATCCTGGAGGTAAATATGAAAATGTTTCGCTCTGAGTGTAACGACTCAAACAAATGCACATCTGTGTCAGCTTTTACGTTGTGTATAACTGAATAACTGACTCGCTTGTTAAATGTTTGACCTCTCCGTCAATAAGATTAGTAGATTGTCTAGAAGTGCGATAAGTACAAGCATAAGCGCCCGAACGCCCTGGTACGACCGAGGGTAGGGAGAGTTAGCTATACCTCTCAAAACTCTCTCACATGGCAACGTGCATACAACCACTACCAGGGAATTCATACTCACTGCATTCTCGTGGCGCGGGTGTTATTTAATAAATCGAGAGGATGAAAAGCGAATGTCTGGCGCCTTAACAAGGCTGGTGGACACATAGAGTCCGCCTGAGGGGAGTTGGAAAACCCTCATTCCAAACCAATAGTGCACATGGGATACAGGATCCTGATGGAACAAATGACGTGGGAACCTAATGTTGGTCACCGGCTACCATGGCACTGCATCTCCTTAGGTCGCTTCACCGCCTTGTGGATCAGACCTTTAGGTCGAAGGCTCCGGGTGTGATTCCCTAAGAAAACCACCTGCTTCGGTTTGGACACACGGGCAGTATCACAGCCCACACATAAATCAAGCCTCTTCGTACCAATATTTATGTGTTCAAATAAATAATTAATTAAAACACCCTCAACAACTCACATTTCCTCTCGTTTCTGCAAGTACAGACAACCAATTCCAATTAAAACATTCATCACTATGATCGATTGACAAGACAAATAAAAATCACACTTTAATCGAATTCGTCTTCCAAACGTCTACAAACCTCATCTTGCTACACTGCACCAACTTACTCCAAGGAAACAATCAAATCAGTTGGCCAAATGAATCGAACAAATGCTTCACTACTTACCTTCATCATCAACAAACAATAGTTGACTATAAATAGACATTCGCTTGGGCAACACTAGCAATTACCACACACAACACAATTAATATAACCTCAAAGAGTTTCTAAGCTATCTTTAATAGGCATTATCTGCACATCTGTTGTGAAATGTGTACAGCTGAAGTTTGCGTTCAGAACAACTTCTGTAAACACTAAAATATGGTAAAAGGATAATGCACCAATGTAGGTGGGAAATACTAGGACAAAGAAGGATCCGATCATCTCATGACACTTTAAACACTGGAATAACAGAAATGTAACTAGACAATAACATTCATTGTCAACCATTTACAGATAAAATTGTACAATAATATCCATCTGCAAGAATCCAACGGATGATCATCACGTAGTTGAATCGTTTGGCGGACAGTCTATAATACTTAATCAGCTCGATGCATTTCGTAAATCCTCCAAAATGAACGTGCTCATGTTAAGTGGATCGAAATTAAGAGAATATGTTGAAAACTTACACCAATCAGTCAGTAACTATTGGTTTCTATCACAACGTAACACTGACTTCTTATCGCCTAACTACTAATTAACTGGCTTCTACAGATCATCACAAATCACTCATAATAAAAATTGATGATAATACACACTCAAACATTAATTCTGCTAACAGGAGTTTGTTCAACTTTCAACTGGATGCACTATTACACCCCAACATAGTAACATACGACGACCAAAACCAGTGCTTCACTGTTGTATCAGAACAAATACCAACCAAATCATCCACTCTCCAGTTAGTATAACAAACACTTACAGAATAATATTCTTCTAACATTTGATGCATTTGTTCAACTTCTTCTGAACTGATTGTTTTGGCTACAAATTGTCGGTTATACGTGACTAGAAATTTCGATCCAGATTTTCCACGCGTACTATCCCACAATGGTTGGTATCTGGTGAAAGAGTCCTGAAGTACAAATCAGAAGTAGAAGAACTCTGTATACTAATGACAAATAACCAAATGTAATCTATTTATGAGAGCTGTTCGTGATGACCAGTCGATAATTGGTCACTCTGAGTAGGAATCGACATATTCGACACCTGCAGTAAATACAGTGTTATGGAACTCTGGATTCGTCAACACTATTCCATCGAAAAGTGGATACTTACAATGCTCTAGTTTGGTTGACATTCATCTTGCACCACATAGTGCACAACTAAATGCTAAACAATGAGAACAGTTTCCTGACTACACTCTATGCAGAGACCACTTGATACAACGACCTACTTACACCAGTGAGTATCTGAATACACACCCAGTACAGTTAACATAAAAACCGACGAACACTAGTTAACATTCTGGCCTCTTTCATTAAATGCTTCGCCAATGAGTAATGCAGCTCCCATTTAAAAGGCTACCAATTATCAGAATATATCAATTAACAAATCATATCACTCTCACCAATTCAGGCTCAATCACTGTTCATTGTGTCTTTATTGTCGAGTGCAAGCATTCACTTATAATTAGCACTCAGTCAACAAATACCAAACGAACCACCAATTTCCTTTACAATCTAACAACAATACTTTTATGATGTTGAACCCAGTTAATTCAATGTTGGACACAACCAATCAATCAATTCTACATTGATATCACCAAATAATACGGCTTATACAAAAGAGCTAGGATGGAAAACGGTACAAGATAATTTTAAAACACATCACATGTTGTACTGTTGATTGATAGAAACACACAACATTCACTCAATAAAAGTAAAAGCTAGAGAATGGGCATGACATTTGAAAACATATGAACGATATTAGGCATTGACAACTACATATTTGCAGCCATATTGTTGGAGAAAGGATAATAAGGCAACTGTTTAATTGTTGCAAGTATTGCCTCCGTAGATAATTATAAATCCATTTCGATCATGAAAATTCATCCACACACTCACACAACTAATAATGCAACTCATGGGCGTGTTCTCCAAATCGAGTGACTGGTAGGATTCTAATCCTGTGCTCACCCTGGGTGGTGAGCAGATAGAGGTAGTCGAAAAGTTCGTGTATCTAGGTAGCTGCATAGGTGCTAGTGGTGGCGTGAGTGATGAGATCAATACACGTATAGTGAAAGCCAGAGCGGCTCATGCCAATCTGGGCCATCTTCGGCGCCTTCGTGATGTCAGTCTGACTATAAAAGGTCGGATCCACAACGCGTCGGTGAGAGTAGTTCTGCCCTATGTTTGTGAACCCTGGCTTCTCTAAGTTCAGGATGTTAGACGACTCTCTGTGTTTGATCACCGTTGTCTCCGAAGGATTGCTGACATCCAATGGCAACACCATGTCAGTAATGCAGAGGTTCGGCATCGTGTGTTCGGGCACAGAGACGATAATCCAATTGGTGCCACCATCTTGAAACATCGACTTCGGTGAATTGGACATGTTCTACGAATATTGTCCCAGAGAATTCCACGTCGTGCATTATTTGCCGACACTCGGACTGGTTGGGAAAAGCGCAGAGGTGGTCAGTGTATGACATGATGTCGTGATACGAAAGAAAGCTACAAGGGGATGGCTTCTGTTGGTCCTTCTCGACTCCCTAGCTGGGGTCCGAGAGATGGTGCTACACAGTAGCTAGAGACGTTATCATATATGGCTCAGAATAGAAGCCAGTGGCGATCCTGTTGTAATCTTCTTTTACTTTCTTCATAAAAAGTGGTTGTAACTTCCTTAACTGAAAGATTTCTTCTGGCTGTACCTTTCTGTTTCTCTCATTATTATTGTTATTTCACTACCATACACTAATTTGTGGTCGTTATTGTTTTTTTCTTTTTACACGCACCTTACATACTTTATATCTTCCCATTCTCATTGTTATTGTGTGGAGCATATGTATCTGGTGCCCCTTATACCAATATTTGTGTTCAAAATAATAAATAAATAAATATTGTCTGAGCGATCCAAATACTGAATGACTATGTAAACTATAGTAGATGGTGTGTGGTCTGAACTTACAAATTAGCAGTCAAACACTCTAACTAACTTAGCACAACCACAAACCCACTGTTGCATAGGTATATTTACAGAGAAATGACTGACAATATTATATTACTTTAAAAAGTCAGGACTTAAAACTTAAAAGGTGAAATCAATAAGATGAGGATAGCGGTGTTTGGAGATTCTCCACGTGCAAGATTTATTACAGACTAACAATCAAAGTTGTCGACTAAATCCATCACAAACAAAATGTAATTTCATAACATTAAATACTAGACAAAACTCATTATGTGCAAGTTATGAATCTCTAACACCATTCACAGGTAGAAAGGAGGAGATATTACCATCAACACATAAATCAGCTCCGAATCACCTACCCAATAATCCATCTTGTCAACTCCAAATCGATCTCGTAATGACTTGAACACCATTGGGCAGTACTCCTTAAACTTGAATCTACTAGGCATATTCTCCCTAGAATCACATTCGTCAGCATAAGTCCACCATGAATACAAGAAAACTTACTTGTTAAAGTGGTGGTTATTAACCTTCACTTTCATATATGCTTTGAAATCGTCTTTCAATAACAGTGCACGTTGCTTTACATGATTTAGAGCGGAAAACGAATAATTTATGCCCCACATCAGTACACTTTTTAATGGTTCATTGGCTCGAAAAAGTTTCAACTTCTGTTTCATGATCCTCACTTTCTTGTGTTTAGACACGGTGGCCATTATTCAAAGATGACAAACTTTTGGAACGACAACTTAATGATTTAAACAGATTCTAAAAAGTCGAGGAAAGAGAACGGGCTAAAAATCACATACATATGCAATCGGCGTTTAAAAATCTAGAACTCAAAATCGTAGGGTGACATTAAATTTTATTAAATATTTGGCTGATCGAATTTATTTGCAAGAATAGTGATATAAAAGAGTCGCTCTCTATTCAGTTCTTCAAACCACCTTTACATGACATATGTTGAGGTAAATTTGATAGATAGTTACATACCAGAAAAACGACAAGTAAACCGATAATGCGAGCCTGTAGAACCTCAGTCCGGATTTAAACGCCTATGTCTTATCCTTACTGTTTAATAGCACATATGTACTTTCATGTCATTATTTCCATACGTTAACTACATAAACTGACTAAAAATAAGCTGCATGTCTGTTGAGGATACCCACCTGTTTTTTCTCTCTGTAGTAGATTCGGTCTACTTTTACTTATTCTGATTATCTTCGAATGAAGTCGGAATTTCTGCATCAAGATTTTAAATTCACGGTCAGATGATTTAGGGTAATCCATTATGACTTGAATAAACTTCAGTTGAGAGAATAACGTAAAATGACCAGGTCCAGAGAGTCTACAAACATATGGCATCCATGTTATTTTAGATCTTTGACATACCCCCAAATGCCCTGGTATGGCCGAGAGCGGGATGGGTTTGCCCTCCCTCTCGAAATACTCTCACACGGCCACGCGTATACAGCCTCTAACAGGGAAGTCCAACTCACTGCATTCTCGTGGCGGGGGTGTTGTTTACGAAAATGAGAGGACGAAAAGCGAGTGTCCGGCGCTTTAACCGGATCCCAAACCAAATCAATAGTGCACATGGGATACAGGATCCTGATCGAACAAATGACGTGGGAACCTATTGTTGGTCACCGGCTACCATGGCACTGCATCTCCTTAGGTCGCTTCACCGCCTTGTGGATCAGACCTTTAGGTCGAAGGCTCCGGGTGTGGTCCCCTAAGAAAACCACTTGCTTCGGTCTGGACACACGGGCAGTATCACAGCCCACACACAAACGATGAACTGTCTATATTTATGGAATAATTTCACATAACATTGTTGAACTTTATCATAGGTTAGTTATTTAGCTAATCACTTTCTGATTTCGAGACATCATGGACTACTAATAATCAATTTAAAACATTGGGTGAGAACCGCTGTGGTTGAGTGATCATACCACTACTGGTCGTAGCTTATCTGGCCTAAATTTAATGCTTGAGAACTCCAATGTTAATGCCACTTAGCCCTCCCAATATATAAGTTCTGGCTGTTTCATACTTTGAACGAGAGCTCAAATTGATCTAGGCTATTCTATTAGGAAGAACTTGTTCGTAACAGGACCATTCACAGAATATTTTCTAGACAGTACTTTTGCAGTAATTAACATTTATTTTCGTTATCGAAAATTACTAGGAGAACCGACGCATCGCACAGCTTGATATTAAAAGGTGAAGATGACGTTTAAGTTAAAACAGGAATCTAAGTATCCTAATTATGACAGTAGATAAATTTTTCAAAACAATTCTACACTACTTTTCCAAATAACTACTAACATACGGTAACAGCAGCGGAATACCCAAACATCAGGTAAGTCCAGGATGAAGGATGTATGTAGTAATAATGTCACAGGACTGTTAAAACTACTACAAAACCTGCGACTGAAAACTTCGCTCATCTTTAATGCCAATGAATGATGTTCACCACTTCTGTGGCGTTACTGATGAGAAGACTGGTAGCACTGATTGGTGAAAGGAGGAAGTGAAGTTAAATCCTATCGCCATATATTAAATTTAAAAATTTAAATGGATAAAGAAAAAAACGGCTGAAAAATTAGACACATTCCTACTAAAGCAAACAGGGAAGCTTTATGCACCAGATTAGGTACACTAGATGCTGCATATATGTAATCCTTATAAGGACCATCTTGTTTTCTAACGGAATGTCCCCTTTATTTCAGTACGCTGTGAAAGAATAAACGAATTCTCTAGAATCTTGTCGTTTTCAGGTGTAGCTATGTACAAATAGCTGTCAACTGAAACATTTTAATGTCGACTACTTATTATCAACTTCTCAAGGTCAAACGTTCCTCTTAAATTCAGGCCTTAAACTCTAAATGATCTCTCCTCGTAATCTGCATAACCTTATTATGATAGCCACATGAAGCTTATTACTTGTGATAAATCGGTTCAACAAGTTCTAAAACAACAGAGAGAACTACCATACTTTGATAGCAGGACAGTCTGACCTTGATTTTTCAAGCGTTCGTACAACAGCAAAAGTTCTTTCATCAATGGTTGAAAGATATGATCAGACTCTTTCAGGTTATCGATGTGAAGTTTCACCGAGAATGATTAGTCTCAAATTTCAACGAGTTTTATGAGTCTATTAACAGATATATGAGTGTGCGAAAACAGTCCACAGTTTTTAGTTGAGATCAAGAATTGATCAATTTTAGGCCACCATTAAAAACCTGAAAGCACTGGACGGCCTTTTCGACCTGATATGGGACTCTTCATCAGAGCACATAAACGATCCCACACACGAGTGAAATTATAGAAATCGGTAGATTTACGTTTTTTCGTAGTAATCGTGATAACTTCAACTGTATATAATCATAATGCCACCGAATTTCAAAACTATTGAGCTCGGTATTGAGATTTAATTAAACTGTTCGTGACAGCGAAAATACTTAGTAAGTTGTGATGGGGATTTTCATTCTCCTTTTATCTGGTGAACTCAACCGATTCTCCCAGTATCTTTCAAAACAGCGGGTACTTTCTCGCGACCGGAAGTCATCAGATGAAAGATTAGGCGTCACCTCATAACAATGTGACTGATTAGAACAACATATGTAAGCGAACACTTGTCTTCAATTAAATCATCATCAGGCACTGCTCTAATATACATGAACATTCATACGAAAATGTTAGACTAATCAAGGTAACTTTGGCCAATAATCACATTGAAATAGAATAAGTCACCACACACAATAGGTAAAAGTACAAGTTTATAGTAGAAAGACAGGTGTACTGACCGTAGTAAGAATAATTAAATACGATAACAAAAGTTATATCAATAGTTAAACATCGGAAAGAGAAGGTCAAAGATGAATAAATGGAATCAGAATAGCCATCGCAAAACATTAATACCATTACGTAATAGAAAGTAAGTAAATAATTAGATAATGAGGAATACAAACGGAAAGACGCGAAGATTACAAACGAATACTTGATGTGAAAATAAGGTTAATAATAACCAAAATAAAATAAAGGGTCGTTTGTTAAGTTATAACTGGCCACGGAGGGAATATGGTTAAGAATTTCTTCTGTACACAAGAATTGGGTTACATGTACGAATTCCTATGGCTTTAGCTATATGTAGGAGACGAGAACGAACTCCGTTGGGAGGTGATGGAGGTATACGATGGATCACTCGAAATGCTTCTGATTTATCTACATTATGGCCGCTATCATTAAGATGTGCCAAGATAGAACGGCGTATTGTTTTTATCTGGCATTTTATAAATTACCTAAATTGTCTCGATTGGTTCAATATTTTCGTATGAATATTCACGTATATTAGAGTAACGCCTGATGAAGACCTAATTGAAAACAATTGTTCGCTTACATGTGTTGTTCTGATTTTCACAATGTGAATCTTTAATATGTCTGTTACCATGTAATATATCTTAGTTTCGAAAATTTCCAAGATCGCTCACTGACAGTGCAGCGGTAAATAAATCTCCAAAATAAACAGCTCTGTAAGTTTTCGATATTGCATGCTGACCACATTAGTTTTAATGGACTCATCTAACTGAAGGCGCTCGGTCAATAAGTTCAAAGTGCCTGGAATTGCCTGGATTGAAGAAAGATCAGTTATCAGCAGTGATAAAAGCGGTGGGTGGTGACAAAACAGCATAAGCCACAAGTGAGGTTTAAGAGGTGTTTTCATAAAACCAAACTTAACATGTTGAATTTGAAGAGTTTTTGATTGCAAAAGAATACATGAACATAAGCTCACGAAATCTGCCATGAATAATATAAGGAAGAGAATGCACTAACATCACATACCCTTAGATAGCCTACCCTCTGAAATTTTTATTTGAATTGGCTGTGATATATAGAAAGGACAGTGAAGGTTCAGCCAATGGTTAGCAGAATGGAAACACACAAACTCCATAAAAGCATTTGTGGGATAGACTGTTTTAGGATCTACGTCATATCATGAATTCGGAAAGTGAAATGTTAATCAAATGTGTAAAGTACAGGTGTTTAAATACCAAATATCTAGGCTTGAAGTCATGTAGTATACCAATATGCATTCAAAGATACATCGATGTCAGTAGACCATATGTCTGTCATATGGGGAGTGGGGCAGAAAACTTATTTTGGTCTTTGTGTCATTTAGATATGAGCCCAAGAAATTTTCTAAAGTACAACTTCAGTCAGAATATCGTCCTTGGTGGTGTTTACTTCATCTTGTAATGAAAAATTCAAAAAATACAGAGAAACTGGAAATGGTTTTTGATTGTACTTGTATGTTTTCAGGGAGATCCCTGAATGACATGATTTGTCGAGGTCCAGACACCACTGCCAAGTCAATGTGCATGTTCTTACGTTTTCGCAAAACGCCGTGGCCATCTCTGAACGTATGGATTAAACGTTTATGCAAGTGTATGTGTCTGAGTCAAAACGTAAAGTTTTTGATTTTTTTTATGGTGATTGAATGGTGACAAATTGGGGATTTTGCCGGATTTCAGACGACTTCATTTTCGTCGAGGACCACCTCGTCTCAGTTTTGTGTGAATTTCGTTATGAATAATACACCAAATGTTCTCCAGTTAGTTATGACTGTTTCTTCATAGACAATGTGCATAATGGTTTTTATATAGATTGTAGCGGTAAATAAATCCCCAAAATAAATAGCACTAAGTTTTCGACATTGGATGCTGACCATATGTTTTAGTGGACTCACCTAGCTGAAGGCGCTCGGTCAGGCATCCGCACCAGATCACGTGTGGTAACGCCGTGCTCAACATCAACCGCAATCGCTAGCCAGATTAGATCAGAGAATTCCGATATATTGGTCATCGCCAAATACACTCTTCCGATCTCCTCGACTCTGTCTTTTGATTTCTCTGGGCGGGAACGAAATATATTAGAAGGTGTTACTGGTAGAAGCGTTGTCAAACACTGAATACCTGTGACATCATCATTGGTGAAACCGACGTGATCTGGTACACCTAATTGCAACTGTGAGTCTGTTCCTTTTTGGGATTTTTATTTATCATTGCCTTATTTTTTTAACTTTTTTAAACATTGTGATTTTTTTTTCGTGTTTTTTCCTGGATATATATATTTTCCCCTTGTTCATTATCGTACTTCATACTTCATCATGACTGAACAGACACCTAAAGTACTCAAGATTAAGACTTTGTCCCCGCCTTCGTTTCAACTGATGCCTTTCTGGCCCGACAACATCGAAGCCTGGTTTTGCTACGCAGAAGCCGACTTCTCCGAGCACGGCGTGATCGACACACGTGCACAATTCCTCGCAGTAGTCAAGGCACTACCGCGCGAATTCAACAGGTACGTAACACCTAGTATGTTTACTAGTGATGTTTCCGATCCTTACGAAATCTTAAAACGCTCGATTCTTAAACGAGGAGACCTAACCGATCGACAAAGGTTAGATCAACTCTTCAACAATATCGACCTGCAACACGGTTCTGCGACGGACATGTTGCAACGGATGAGAGAGGTTATAGGCCCAAGAACTTTCGACGAAGGCCTATTCAAACAACTCTTCTTGTCAAAACTTCCCCAACAGGTGCAAGCAGTTCTGGTCTCGTTCCAGAACAACGCCTTAGACGAACTAGCTGCATCTGCCGACCGCATTCTAGAAATTACGAAACCTACAACCGAGGTATTTTCAGTCAAAGAAAAGCCTCACACGACTCAGAATGATTTAACCGACTTATGTCACACACTCACGAGTTATCTTAGTCTTCGTACCGACCGTGAGAGATCGCGCACACCACGTAGAAGCATTTCTCGTAAGCGATCTGTCTCTAGACCACGAGAGACAGATAACCCCGACTGGTGCTGGTATCATAACCAGTATGGAAAGTTTTCCAGAAATTGCAGAAAACCCTGCAATTTTCCCAACACGAAACCGACTGATTCGAAAAGCAATTCGGGAAACTTCCAAGCCGGCACGCGTTAACGGCAACCGTAGCCGGCGAACAAAGCCGTCTGTTATTCGTCACAGATGTGACAACGAGAGTTCGTTACCTCGTCGACACTGGCGCAGAAGTTAGCGTTCTCCCAGCAAATCCTAACGACCGGCTTCAGGAATCGGCTTTTAACTTACACGCGGCAAATGGAAAACCGATCGCTACGTATGGCAAAAGGTACGTTTACCTTAACGTGGGCTTACGCAAACCCATCCACTGGATTTTCGTTATTGCAGATGTTTCTATGCCAATCATTGGTATGGACCTTCTACAACACCACAATCTGATCATCGACACGCGCAAACGGAGGCTAGTAGACGGAAACACTAATTTGTCCGTTTGCGTAACTTCTTTTACTGGTTGTAGAGTATCCCCAGTCACAGTTAAACATATGATAGACCCACTCTATCAACCACTACTCGATAAGTACCCTGGGATACAACAAACTCAACCGAAACTACCGTGTGTAACCAGCAATGTTACACATCACATCACGACTACAGGACCACCTGTATTCTCTAAAGCACGACGACTAGCTCCTGAAAAGCTAAGGTTAGCGAAAAACGAATTCGATCACATGATGGACTTAGGAATCATACGACCGTCAAGTAGCCCATATGCATCTCCGTTGCACATGGTCCCTAAAAAGGACAGCAACGATTGGCGTCCAACTGGTGACTATCGGCGATTGAACGCGAAAACCATTCCCGATCGTTACCCGTTGCCTCACATTCACGATTTGACAGCTACCTTGAAAGGTACAACTGTCTTTTCGAAAATCGACTTGGTTAAAGCGTATAACCAAATCCCTATGGCTACTGACGACATACCGAAAACAGCTATCATAACTCCTTTCGGACTCTATGAATTTTTGCGAATGCCTTTCGGTCTAAGGAATGCTGCTCAAACATTCCAAAGATTCATAGACGACGTTTTTCGAGGTCTCAACTTCGTACACGCGTATGTTGACGACTGTCTAATCGCAAGTCCGGACAGAGAAACACATCTCAAGCATCTGGATCTTG